CAAGAAGCCATCGTCGGAAGTCCATTGCGCCTACTTCACTTTGTGCCACTGGTAGTGAGTATACTGTAAGCACAATTTTTAAAGTGGACCAAAATATTTACTGTAGTTTATACACTGCTCGGGTAAAGTTCGGAGAACAGCCTTGATGGCGTCGATTTTGGCCCAGTAATATCCCACTGCTGTATTGAAATAATTTTTCAGCCAGTTTTTCTTTTGCTATTTGGGTTAGTTTAGGTGTTATGAGTATCTGCTTTTAAAACTCCCCATATGCAGGGCTTAATTTCTAAGATTAGAAGTGCCGGAGCCCTATGGAAGACCGTCAGCAAATGACTATTAAACTCATTATTAATTTTAAAATTAAATCGTTAATTATTATCAAATTAATTAATAGCTATTTAATTAATGTTTATAAATTGTTACTTAATAATTATTATATAATTAATTAAAATTTAATTGATAATTTATATAATTAATTTTTATTTATTGAAATAATTCAAATTAAATAAAATGTAAAAAGATAATTGAAATTTAATAAGCGATTTTTAATATAATTTTATTGCTTAAAATAATAAATTTTTGAGATAAAATTTCTACTGAAATTTTTATTCAATTAATAACATAAAAGAGGTGCCGCAGCCTTCTTATTTAGGGCTTCTGGTGCACGTCCGCCTAGAATTATGATTTATAACAAAAACTAAAAAGCACCTGTGCCGGGATCCGGTGGGCTCCAGCCCAATTTAAGCTCTGATCATGGGGGGGGGGGGGAGTTCTTTTCACAAAAATTAAATATACTTAAAGTATAGCTGATGAAAATTCAGGGCGAAACAGAATGGGAGTATGAGTGGATGGAAACAAAAAAAAAATGAGGGGAATCTTGGTGAGAAAGAACGTTCTCTTTGACCGCGGCTCTCTGATGATATAATTATAGCCTTTAAGCAGATGTGTGTCAGGGTAAAATGAGTCTTGAATCTGACTCCTAAGGATGAATGTAAAGTTGCTGATTACGCTTTCTCCCCCCCTCCCATTACTGGATACTGTGGGAAGCCGATGTATAGGACGTGCTTGAGCAGTTTATCTCAAGATTTCACTCTTATTCTACTCGCTGTCACTTAACGCACATTTAAGAACACAAATTCTCCTTCCTGCGAGGAAAACTAACTGTAAGCACCGATAACAATACACTAGATACGATGGCATGGCGAGAAATTTACCCGTTCGTGAACAAACTCCCCCAAATTTATTGCCCTTATGAAAAGGAAAGTTTTCCGCGTGTGAGTGAGGGGACTTTACTTGAACGTCTCATGTTCTCATGAGTTCGTATTTCTAGGGAAATAGAGTATTGCAGTAGCTACTTATTGTAACTAAAACGTTAGGAATTCTAAATTTTTTTCCCTGTAAATTGTGGTTCAGTTTTATAAAACGAAGTACCGGAGCTCATCTTATTTAGGGCTCCGGTGCGTTTCGGCTGGAATTGTAATTTATCTTAAAAATTGAGAAGTACCGGAGCCGGGCTTCGGTGGGCTCCGGCGCAATTTAAGCACTGGTTCTTGAACAATTCTAAACTAAGCCAGTGCAGTAAAGCGTGGTCTTTTGTATTTCTTGGTTAGTTTTCAAGCTTACACAGTATTTACCGTAAGACACAGTAGACTTAATTCTGTTGCAGAATGCTTCTAGCTTTGTTGGAAAGCAAAGCATTAGTCGTGCGATTTTGAAAAAGAGTTTATTTCATTTATCGAGTAAAAGCCGGACTAGCCGGTATTCAGTTAACCAGAGAGTTCAAGTAACTGGAATATTTTCAAATTTTAGAAATATTTTTTATTTATTTATTATGCAAAAATAAGCAAGAAAGAGATTTGTAACTCTTAAAAAGCACAAAGCTGCGTTTTGCGTCAAATAGAAAAATGTCGTAAAATAGTGCGATTTAGCGCCAATGGGTAGGAAATGGTGAGATTTCTAACTAATGTAAGCTTGGAGAGATCTCCAGTTTGTATGGTGGACGGAATTGCATAATCGAATATGATGTTTTACTTCGGCGTTTATGTCTGTAATTCCCTTATTATTATCGAAATCTCGCATAATTTAAATGTAGGCATTTGATATTCAAATTGATAACAAATAAAATGACTATTTTTTGTAATTTTAGGCACGACATTTTTTCTTCCATTCATTTGGCTTTTCTGTTGTGAATTACATTTTTTATACGTTCAATTAACCGGAATTTTTGCATATCCGAAATTCGGCATTTCCCGAGTTGAATTTTTACTGTACTTGTAGATATTTAGAACACATAATTCTTTTCATTTTTTGATATGTAATCTTAGTTGTATGTGTATCATCTGAAATATTTTCTAATTCATTGGTATGTGCTGACAGACAGGCAATTCATCTTGCTAACAAGCACTTTACACTTATGGCTAAATACAGCATAATGCTGTAGACATATTATCTTATTTCTTCTGATTTTAGCTTTCAAAAATTTCTGTTACCCATTTTATAATACAAATGCAGCATGTAATGGAAATTGGTGTAATGCTTTTATCAATATGTGCAGGGCTTAATTTCTAAAAGTAGAAGTGCCGGAGCCCTGTGCAAGACCGTCAGTATAGAGCAGCAAGAGTAAATAAATAAATAAAATGGGTATTAAAATCATTAATAATTTTAAACTTAAATTGTTAATGAATATCAAATGAATTAATAATTATCTAATTGATATTAATTAATATTTATTAAATAGTATTTAGTTTACAATTATTATTTAATTAATTCACAACTAATTCATTAAAATTAAATAAAATTTAAAGAGATAAATTAAAATTTAATAAGATATTTTTTATGTAATTTTATTGCTAAAAATAAAATTTTCTGTATCAAATTTCTGCTGAATACATAAAAAAAGCCTTATTTAGGGCTCCAGTGCACTCCGGCTAGAATTATGATTTATTATAAAAACTAAGAAGTACCGGAGCCGGTCTCCGGCGCAATTTAAGCTTTGAATATGTGTGTGTGTATTTATTATTTAACTTTCGTGTATTGTTTTATTTAGTTAATGCATTTTATTTAATGATTTTTCTTTTATTTTTATTTTGCTTAATTTAGAATTTATTGACGTATTGCCAGTTTTTGCAGTATTTGATGTGTGTGTATTTATTATTTAATTTTCGTGTATTGTTTTATTTAGTTAATGCATTTTATTTAGTGGTTTTTCTTTTATTGTTTATTTTGCTTAATTTAGAATTTATTGATGTATTGCCAGTTTTTGCAGTATTCTGGAAATTTTGGATGTTTTGTTTTCAAAGTTCTAGGTTGTTTTTTTCTTATCCTTCCCAAATCCTTACTTCACATAAAATTACAATTTTACTGAAAAACTAAGAATTATCCAAGCCAGGCTCTTTCTGGATTTAAGCCCTGTATAATATATATATATATATATATGTAGTGCCAATCGCTTGGAGCTGTGATGAAAACCAGATGCCGTGACGTCATTCTCTCTACGAGCTCCGAAGGCGCCAAGCAAAAATTAGGGGAATTACCGTTTTGAGATGATAGACGATTGACGTGAAAGCAGAGACGCTGCTTCTGTTCAAAAAGAACTTTGACGAATCATTACTTGTTTAATTCTCTTAAATGTTAAATTTATGTAATAATCGTTTGTCTAATTAAAATGTCTTTCGTTAATTAATTTGTTCATCGTTTAAAATCCCCACATATATATGGTCTGACTCAAAATCCAACTTTGTTTAATATCCAATTTATTTCACTTTATGAACACATACAGATTAATGAGACTAGTTATATAGAGAGTTTAGTATAATAATCAAATGATCCATATATCTTAATGATGAAAAACATTCAGTATTTCAGTAATGTAACGTAACTGCTGCATACTTAGAACAGGAATTTTCCTATCACAGCATTCCAAAACAAAACTGGCTGCCAGATTCATACATCAAACAAAATTACAAAACAAAGGATTAAATAATAACAAGCAGGAAATGCTAAATTTAATAGGAGTGACAACAATATGTATAAAATATTATTTCAAGAGGTAGTAGAACATAAATCAAAGTTTTCCCCTCACAATGGTGAAAGAAACATTTGTGACTATAATGTCACTAGTAGAGTAAGAGAACTCTAAAAATAGAAGAATACATCTCTCCCCCCCCCCCTGCAATGAGAATAAAGAAAATCTTGCAGAAAAAAAGTACAGAGAAATGAGAGTGTGAATAAGCAATTGAGGGTCTTCCACTCCCTTTTTCTGAACCACCGAGCTCTTGAGAGGACCTTTCAGCTCACTATGTATTTTTAATACTCCCTTGTCACACAAACTCTATCCCATGTCCTTCTCTATATAACTACTATACTGGCTGGGTGACCATCATTTGGGACAGTTTATAGTCTCTTCAAGCTGTTGCAATAAGATTTGTACGAAAAACATCAGAAATGAAAACTTTGTGCTTTGTTATAAAATGGGCAGGAAGGAAGTCCTGTATTAAATCACAAGGTATCTATTTTTGAAGATGGTGAACTATAATTATGTATATATTCAATAAAAAAAAATTCTTTCAAACTATTCTCATTACTTTTGGGAGAAATCCTGTTTAGAGAAATTCTCTTAAGGCATGTTGCTCGTCCCCAAGTTATTTTTAGGGAAAAAAATATTTAGTTAATAAAAGGAAATGAGAAACATCTTGAATCTATTCGTAACTGAAATTTAAAAATTCAAGCAAGTATTATTGCGTTCAAAGTAATTTTCTAAATACTTTTATATACATGTTTCAGCTCTACACATTTGTCTCATGTAATAAATAGAATCTTTTCTAATATCTGTAAAAATATATCATTGGTTGTCTTTCTTAAATTATAGTCTACATTTACATAACTTAAATATTTAAATTTCATGTTTTAATATAAATTTAATAAATCTGAATTCTGATCATATGTTTAAATTAATGTACAATAACTTGTCAATTAAACTTTCTTATATTCTCTTTCACGTTTAGAATGTTCAGCATCATTAGCACAAGGTGGATTTTTCCTAAATGGTGGCCTTTATTATTGTTCCAAAGATTATCAAAAGCTCTTTGGAACTAGATGTGCTGAGTGTGGAGACTATGTAGAAGGTGAAGTAGTCACAGCACTAGGGAACACTTATCACCAGAAGTGCTTTGTATGTGCTAGCTGTAGGTAAGAACAAGTTTGTTTCCCTCTTTTGTTGAAATTTTTGATTTAGTATATTGCATAGATTTTATGATGGTTGTTCTCTAGAGATGTGTAATTAGTATTGTTCTTGGTGGCCAAGCTAAAAATAAAAGAAAATCAAAGTGAAGTATATTGCTGACTGCATCTTTGTTAGAATTCAATCCAGCTTTATTAAAGCTATAGTGCTGTATCTTTTACACAAGATAATTTCAGAGATATGAGAAAATTTTGTTGTTTGAATCATGGGGGGGGGGAACAGAGTTAGGGATGAAAGGTGAAAGAAAAATAAGAACTGTTATGTTTGTAGTGAAATGATTTAATGTTAAAAGGAAAATAAGTTTGCTAAGTTACTTATATGAAGTATTTTATGGTGAGGATAATCTTGAAAAGCTGCATTATCTTTAAGAATATTAAATTCTTTTGTTGAAGTGGCAAGAGTGGAGCATAAATAACTTATTTCATTACTTCATTATTATAAAGCTAATTTAGATATTTTTTGTTATGTATATATTGTAACCTTCTATTTAGAGATGTTGAATCTGTATGAGTGATGATGATTTATTGTTGAGTCTTATATTTAGAGATGTGATTGAGATATGGCACACCAGTTTCTCGAATCTCTTGTATAAACATAGGAATGATAGGGCTCAAATCCTCTATATAATTTGAAATGTAAGTTAACAGTCAACTGTTTTTAAAAGATTTACAGTCACATAGGGTAATTTCTTCATGATCAAATGAAGAGCAAGGCTAGTTGTTATTTCTTTATAATCAAGCAAGGAGTATCTTAAAATCCTTCTATAGAATTCTTTTCAATATGACTGTCTGATGCTGCCGCTACCCACGTGGTGTTATAAATTTCCGTGTGATTTTGTTTACTACTGCTTTTTCAGAAATCTGTTCCCAATCTATATACTTGAACTGCCTATCACTTCCAAGAAAATTAGTTCTGTTATCCAAACAAATAGTGTAATGGTCTTTCTGTATGATCTGTGATTCATTCAAGTAACCTGTAGAAAGCTTCAAGTCAGTAGAAAAAGAAAAGCTAGGTCCACTGCTAATGTACATGGCAATACATGGGATCACTACCCATGTATTTTGACCTCCTTTTAATATCAGTGGTCCAGTCAAGTTAACTCCTGTAACTTTGAAAACAGAAGCCTCCCTTTCACTCTTCGTAGAGTGAAGCAGTAGCATTTTATTGCATTAGACTTGACCTTTTTCAGTTGACACAAGCTTGAATAATTTATTTAACAGTGTTTTGGGTTTTCAAAGTCCAGTATTGATGTCAACTAAAGATTCGTATTTGAAGAGATTTGAGATGTTATCTCAAGATTCATATTTGTAAGCTCAAGATGTTATCTCAAGATTCGTATTTGAACTGTAAGAAAATGCTCATCAGAATTGACCATTGGTGGCAAGATCTTTTAATCCCCTGAAAGATTTTTCTTTGAACCAATATCAGAATGACCATTTCTGCTTTTATGAAGTCTTGTGCCGTAATTTTCCCATAAATTCTATCATCACATTTGAGTCTAGAGTTTCTTGCAAAATCTGTAGATCTGTGAAATGACTTTTAGAATTTTGTGTGAGAAAATATTCTCAGAACTAATATTAGATGGAATGTCTGAGTCTATCATGATGACAATACTTTTATCCACTTCAAATTTCACAATCTGTAAATTGAACAGTATTTCTGAGGTATGTCATATGTTAAAGTTTTTATAGACCATCCCACCATTTTAATCTGGCTGAAATATCAGGATTACATTTTTGAGAAAGAAAGTTAGCAGGCTTAAGATTTCCTGAGAATAAGTCTCTAAAACGAAGAATTTCTTAAGGATTATGTTTTTTGAACTTTGTTGTGAGCAAACATTTTCCACTGCTGCCATTTTGATCATTGAAGCTGTTAAAAAATCACTTCAAAATATCATGGAAGGGGGGCCTTTCATAAGTTTAGTTTGGATGCCATTATTGAGGCAAGCCTGTTTTGCTGTTAGTAAATTGCTGACTTGGCATGTTTGCATGAAGCAAGTTCTCTGTAGAAATTCTATGAAATCATTTGTTTTATAATTTGGGACCAATATTGTATGCTTTGTAAAATTCAAGGGTCAAATCCTGAGGAAGAAATTTTAGAATAATAGGACACAACAGAGTGCTCTAAAAATCTGTTACGTGTTTTAACCATTTGAGATATCTTGCCTGAGTCTGTATTTTATAATATGAATTGGGAGATCCCTTAAATAATTTTCATTTTTAATGGATACATATTTAGACAATTTTTCATATGAGCATTATTAAGATTGTCTTTCCTTTTAAAATGATCATGTAAGATTTTCATAGCTTAATCAAAATGTTTTAGTGCTATTCAAGAATCTTGAACACAACCGGTTGCTGTCTTCTCTGAGTGGGATTTCAAGTACTTAAATTTGTCTATGTTGTTTAATAATTCATTATTATAGCAAGAGGATTAAAAAATGTTCCAAAAATTAAGCCATTGACTATTGTCTTCAAAGAATATGGGAATTGAAAGTTACAATAATTTGATATTCGGAATATCTTTTACATTTTGCTTGTTTATTCAGCTTGTTTAAATCACTGTCATGAACCGAAACTGTAGAAATATTAGTGTTCAAGTAGATATTAAGTTCTTTAATACATTTCTTAAGCTTGAAATTTCAGAGTGTTATCTTCTCTTGATAATGTCCTATAATTTTGTATTCATTTTCAAATGGTGTTTGCATTTAAAGATGGTTCTAACTAACCATTTTTTTAGAAAGTATTTCCACTTTGAGCTGTTCTAATAGTTTTCAAGCTCACGAATACTAATTTATCTAATTCATTTTCTATCTTCTTAAATAGTTCTCAAATGGCAGTTCACAAGACGGGTCTTTTCTTTCTTAATTTATTTACTTCTGCCATTTTCATATGTTTCAATGCATAAAAAATATGTTTTTCAAGGAAAAAAAAAAAAATGTTTCAATTAGCTAACGAAATTATTCTGCTGCAGAATATTTCAAGAATAAGATTTTAAAATTTTATCAACACTTGAATTCAGATATTCCACATTCTCCAGTTTCTTAAGATCGCATCAGTACCGACAATGGGCATCACAGCTGTTATCTATATATATATTGCAACCAAGATAAAGCAGTCAAGGAAATAAAACTCAGTCAGTACCTTTGGAATGGATTTGGTATTCATGGTTCCCCTAATGTGACTGGTTTACTCTGTTAAAGGAATTATCCATTCCTGTTAAAGGAATTATCCATTCATTCATTATCCATGATCTAACAGTTGAACATCTTATGCTATAAAATAACACCAATGATTTATTAAGGCTATCGCTTATATACAGTATTGAAATCTTCTGCACATCGCAGACACCAGAACGTAACTGTGTGAAGTTTTGTAGTTCTAGTCTAGGAGGATGTATTTGCAGTGGCATAGCTAAGGAGGGGCAAGGGAGAACATCAGCTCCAGGGCACAGCCTCTAGAAGGCACTAAATTTATGCTACCAAATTTTAGAGTAGAGTGTTTTCCATTCTTGACTAACAGAAGAGTGCGCAAAATCTTCAGCTGTCACCGGGCACTGAAAGTCCTAGTTACGGCTCTGTGTGTTTGAGGTGAAAAATACAGCAGTTATTAACAATGGGTAAGCAAAGTGAGTTTATAGGGGGAAGCAAATTAATTATGAAAAGCACTCATATGGAATTCTATTAATAAAGTTCAAACATGTTTTTCCAGTCCTCAAGCAAACAGCCATAATGTAATATTATGATTTATAAATTAAGCTGTTAAAAAAAGAAATCCAGGAGTCTATATTTAAAAATTTAGATGAAATTATTTTATCGGTGCACTATCGTCCTGCTTATGACCTAAAAAGTCAGCAATGAGTAGCTGCAGTAAATAATTAAGTACATGATATATTAACAAGAGGAGCATAAATTAAGGTTTTTTGCTTATAGTGATTATAAACTAATGATCAATAAGAGCTACTACTAGTTTGTGAAAAAAATTACTAGAAATAGGATTTGTAATATGTCTTCTATATTATGGGTATTCATTCTTTTTTTTTTTTTCTTTTTAAATTATCAGAGACTGGTATTCTCAGTAGTGACAGAATTTATGATAAATATTTACTCTTTGCTTATCATTTTTTTTAATCCACTTATTCCAATTTCGAAAAACAAAGGAAGGAAACAAAATCATAGTTATAGTCGTAAGAAAAACACCATACATATATAGATGTGGGCAAAACTTTGCTAATTATTTTCTTTTTATTTAACCTTGATTATGAAATACTGAAGAAACTAGAAAGCAATGAATAATATTAACAATCTGTCATTCGGGTTTACTGAATATGAGTTATATATCATGTGTTGTATAATATGTTTTTTGAATTGCATATTTAATTTAAAATTTTTCTATAATGTCTTCTTGTAATGTATGTAAAAATTTTCCAGTGTTTTGAGAAATGTTACTTTTCATATAAAAACGTTTTAGATGTTATTCTTTACTTTTTTATTTTCAGTTTTATAGCTATGACACACATTAGAAAAGCTCTTTATAGCTATAATACATACTGAAATAAATAATTTTGTTTCAGTATGCATTATAGTATGAAAGTAACTATCATTTGATATAATATTACTGACAGATTTTTTTTTTATCAAATTCCCCGAAATTGGAACTGAGTAGAAGAAATAAAATGTTAGTTGAATATTTCCGAAATGTATAATTATAGCACATTTATATTTCTGATCAATGAGTAATTAACGTATTGAAATGGGTATAATATTATACACATTTTTGTGTTTTTAAAATGGCTGAATGGGGTGATTTTTATAATATTGTTTAAATTATATAAAATGAATATAGAAAATTATTTGATAAGTGTCTCTCAAATCTTGCACATTTATGCAATTTTAGAAGCATAACAACTAATATGAAAGAATCATCAACAATTTCTTTTGTTGAAAAATGAGAGGTTTATTTGGAATCTGTTTTGTTATTAAGTGATCAAATTTAAAATAAAATTTAAGAAAGAATATTTAGGGTATTTTAAAGAAATGTATTTAATGTAATAAATTGGTGCTATTAAAAAATCAGTAGCGTAGCTAATGGCGTCTTGCATTTGGTGCCATGCATTCTTTTTCTTCTTTTCTGTTGTTGTATTTGATGAGTATTAGCATAAATGAAGCAATATCAATTACATATCATAGCAGTCAATAAAAATTCATGCAAAACCTGAAAAATACATTTAAATATAATATCTGTGGGTTTATATATATATATATAATTTAGTCTTTCCATGTATGAAAATTAACTCTAAGGAGACGTTGCTTTCAAAAATATTTTATTATTTAAATATTTAACTTAAAAGAGTGTTTTTAAAAAGTCTTGTATGTATTAAGCTCTTTAATTTTTTATGATAAATTTTATTCTCATAAATTCATTTTCAGGCAACCTTTTCCCTCTGGCGAAAAAGTGACATATACTGGCAAGGACATTCTGTGTACCAAATGTATTCAAATTCCAATAGTTTCTGCTGACTCTCCAACTCAAGAATCTCAATTCCAAAATGGACAGATTTCTAAAAGTATGTTTCAGTATTTTCTGTTGTTAAAATAGACTGTGTTGTCAATTAAATTTATGCAATTAACACCTTTCTGTTTTTAGTTTGTGCTGGATGCAATGAGAAATTAAAAGAAGGTCAAGCTTTAATTGCATTAGATAAAGAATGGCATATCTGGTGTTTCAAATGTACAGCTTGTGAAGCAGTTTTACATGGAGAGTATATGGATAAGTATGCTTTCTTTAATTATTTCTTTTAGTTGTATTTTAATTTATTAAAAAGGAGTTTGTAGAGGTGTTTTAATTTGAAGTATGTATACTTTCTCCTAATATTTAATTTGATCTGGCTGCATTTTGCATCAATATAAATTTTTATTAAATGCATTCACATCTTAGTTAATACCTCAAATACATTCTTAGTTAATATTTAAAATATATTGCTGAAAATAAGTGCTAAACACAACAAAGTGAATTTTTTTAAACGTTTGTTTATAATATAGGAGTTGAAATTGTCAATAAGAATGTAGTTATTTTAAAAAACCTGATTAAGGATATATTTCTTCGGATATAAGCATATGATATTGCTTTTAATTTTTTTATTGTTTTTAATTTGCTGTGTAGTTAGGAATCACTTTAAGCATACTTTGTAGGCCTTGGAATGCTGATTATGATATGGATTGTAATCTGTAAGCTATTTCATAATTTTTTATATATTAGTATTGTTAAGTATTGTGTGATTTTAGTATAACTGATGAATTATTTTCTGTAGCAGCAAAGACTGTACTTTTACTTTCATTACTGTGTCCATCTCATACAGTCTATAGAGCTCATCATTATTAAACCTTTCTTTTTAATATTGTTAAATTTAGTAATTTCCTTCATTCACATATCATCGTAATCTCACTTGAAGCATTACCTTAGTGATGGTTTTTTCTTAACCCCCCCCCTGATAGCTGGACAATTTGTTAGTTAAGCATTTACCAGAAATGACCAAAAATAGTTAGTCATTTAGCTATTTTATCACCAAAAAATTCCCCAAAGTTCTCCACTGGAGGGACCAAATTACAATCACAATAAAGGTGAAACTGCATTTCAGTTTGAAGGGAAAATGCCTTCAGGGAACAGATACAATGGTTATTTATCCATTTTCCTTTACCACCACCATCTCAATAAAACTTCTGACTTCATAGTATTTTAAGGGCTCCCATTCCATCAAAATACTATACTTGTATAGTTACTGTTATTATAAGAAGAAAGAAAATTCAAAATTTGCCAAAACATGACTAACAGGTACATTTACTGATGTAATGGAATAAAATACAAATTAATAAAAATTTAAGGACTCTGATAAATTGTTAGAAATGACCGACTGTAAAATATTTAAATGTAGGATTGTTTGATAATGTCATGTTTGGAATTTTTTGTTGATACAGTTTTTGTGAGTACTCTTCTTTACTGCAATAAAATTCATGATTTTTCTGTTTGCTGATTACCATCAAACTTTTTTTATTATATTGTTGAATTATGTTCTTTAGATTAAATTATAATTCATAGAAATTAATTTTTAAATTTTTCATGTAGGGATGGTGTTCCATATTGTGAAAAAGATTATCAAAAACAATTTGGTGTTAAGTGCAATCATTGTGAACGTTACATCATTGGCAAAGTATTACGTGTAAGTTAAATTTCCTCTGTCAAATAGTTTGTGCAAATATTTATTTTTAGTAAGATAAAATTTAATATTTAAGTGTTTATATGTTATTCATTATGCAAAATTATGTAACAAATATTTAAATCTTTTTTATTTCTATATATAGGCTGGTGATAATCATCATTTTCACCCAACTTGTGCTCGTTGTTCCAAATGTGGAGACCCTTTTGGTGATGGTGAAGAAATGTATCTTCAAGGTAAGTCTAATTAATATCTTCACGTTTTACCAGTTTTTTTAATCCTAAATGTGGTATCAGGATAGATCGTAAGAATGAATATTCAGTGTCTCATTTTTGTCAAAAAATAATTATTTTGGACTATGCAAAAGCAAAGTGTTTCTTCTTTTCTCCCACCCCTCTTCTCATATCAACAACCACTCGATACACTTTCACACACCATGCATTTTTGCGTGCACCCTTTTCACATAGACATTATACACTTATATTACTGTCTTCGGAATTTCTGAACTTGCCAATTTGGCAATCAGTTTAACTAACCGCTATACCATCTGGACAGCTAGCTATAAATTATTGATATAGTTTTAAAATGATTTATGTAAGTATGCTTTCACTCAGCAACCCTGATCTGGATTGTGCTATGCTGCTGTATCTTTAAGCTCGGGTTTGAATCCTGGAGAAGTTTTGTATGTTTGTAAGTGTATAGTGCCTTTGCAGCATGAGGCCACTTAAAACATATGGTGAACTGAAAATCCTCTCACAGTGTTTGGTGGTGGGTAGAGTGGGAGGCCTTTGAATGCATTCCTTGGGGAAGTCTTAGAATTGGGACAGAGCTGAACAAAATCATAATTTCACCTGTAAGGTACCCAAGGCCCATGCCAGTGACAAATATAATCCTACACTCCTTGCCAAAATAAAACTCATGGACTTGTTTTGATGTTAAATGTCAGATATGTCACAGAAACAGCACAGTGTGCTTTTATTCATTAGCACTTTGCATTAGTTTAGTTGTTTCATTAAAAACATGATTAAAGACCTTCCTCTTAAATCTTTTCGTAATACTTATTTAGTAGATTTAAAAATTTGGCTAGAATGTTATTTCATTATTAAGAAAGATCAAATGAAAGAATTATAAAAAACTAACAAATTTATAATGATGAGTATCTTGAATTTAACTAGGATTTTTCCAGATAGTAGATCATCAGTTTAAATCTGGTAAGGTGGCATGCAGAAATTATACAATTAAAAATATGAAATCGTAATTTATGAAATAAGGAACAGTTATGATCTAAAAGCTATCGAAATTTACCAAAAAAAAAAAAGCTTAATATTTGTTTACTTTATTAAACATTTCTTTCAATGTAAGTTGTTTAAGATACTTCCACAGAAAATTCAAAAAGTTCTTTTTTCTTGTGTCATATACAGTGGACTTTCCAATGTCATACTCCTCCCATAATTTTGAGACAGATATGCCTTTATCCATTTTTTGCAGCAATTCCACTTTTTGTTTAATGGACATCGAAACATGATTTCGCTTTGTAGATCCTTTGACAATTCCAGAATTGGAAACTGTTTTCAACATAATCGAAAGTTCAAGCTTGGTTTTTATAAAATTGCCGTAATAATAACAGTCTGAAAAATATAATAAGCTGGATCAAATTAGAAGATCAGGGAGCAGCGCAGTCTGCCTTAGAATCGGTAAAGATAATTTTAGCATAGCTTAATAGCGCCCGTTATACATTATTGGCTGTGTATCACAAGATTAGCGATGAAAGCCAAGTTGTCTCTCTAAATTTTGGCTTGCTCCTATTTCATATTGAATTAAGCCTGAATTGTATTAGTTTAGTTATTACTATGCCTACGTTTATTTCTTGCACATGCTTCAAACTACTCAGAGTCATGAATAAACAAACTTCCACATATACTTAAGGGTTTATCTAGGGCCGGCGCTGGATACTGCCTGGCGCAGTCTCTATGGGTCCTAAATTCTGCTACAAAGCACTTTTCTAAGTTCTAAATTTTCATCGTGCCTAAACTTTGGATCCCAGTGCTTTCCCTAAATCATAAGTACTTCTCATCCCTTAATTTTGCCACTTGGTGCTTTTCCAAATTCCAAAAATTTCGTCTTCCCTAAATTCTGTTGTCCGGTGCCGATATATTCTGACGCCGCTGGGTTTATGGTGAATAACATATTAGTTGTTATTTATTAAAATAGCTCAAAATGTAATCTTTTGGCCTATGAGCTTCATTAACAAAATCTATTTTTAGCATATGAAAAAATTTTTGTTGAATTTTTCCTCGTCAACATTTCTTAGAACATTTAAAAATCTAGAATCAGCGCTAAGTGTAATGTTAGCATGAAAGGTTGTCATACTCTTGTAATTCAATTGATATAAAAAAAAGTTTAGACATCACAGCATGAGTTATTACTGAAGCTGTCATGTATTGATAAACATGTGGTGATGATGGCAAAATATAATAAATAATGACTAGCCAGGTCGGTGGCAGGAATATAAAATAGGTGAATGTTTTGGTTTGAGATGTATGCCATGTAGACACTCAGCTATAGAGCTAAATTATTAATCTCTCAAATTTATGCTTGCATGATTGTTTTTCCATAACTAGGTATTTTATTTAGTGCATAAGGGAAGTTAAGAATCGGAATTTTTAAGTGAAAATCTCCGCATGTTTTATTACGGAAGGAAAAATCAAATGCGCATGTGTAAAGCATTAATAAAAAATAATGTTTGTGGCTTTGAGGTCTGGATTTTAAATCATATTGGATAATGGACTTCCGGATTTCGGACTTTGTACTGTAGTGGCTACCTGTTTTTCATAAGGATGTGAGATGTGTCTAAGATGACGTTTCACTTAGGCATTTTGTTCCCACACACATATACAGTACAAAGTCTGTAATCTGGACGTCCATTATCCAGAATGATCTATAATACGGACCTCAAAGCTACAAACTTACGGGTTTTTCCCCATGTGTAACGTGTATACGAGCCAGTTTCCCTTAGAAAGTCCTTCACGAAGGCATCCCTCCCCTTAAACAGATAGCCCTAGTGTGCTTTGCCGTATTTCCCAATACACCACAAACTTACGCATGCATGTGTAATGTGTGCGTCTGCTACGCATGCCCATAAAGCATTTACCCATGCGCGCTTCTGATAGTGAAGAAAGTGACAGAGAGGTTATTGAAAACGAAAAAGTTTCGATTGATGAGTTAGTCGGTATTCTCTACACAACAATTACAGAACTTGAAAAGTGGAATTTTGTAACTGAACAAGAAATTATGTCTGTTTATAGAATTAAAGAGAAAGTATTAGCACAAAAAATGAAGCAATTAAACAACTTACATTAAAAGAAAATAAAAAGAAATGTTTGATAAAGTAAACAAATAAATATTAAGCTTTTCTTTTTGTAAATTTTGATACCCTTTAGATCATAATTGCTCTTTATTTCATAAATTACGGTTTCAAATTTTTTATTGTATAATTTCTGTATGCCATCTTACCAGATTTAAATTGATGATCTATAATCCGTAAAAAACCTTTATCCGGAATCGCCGAAATCCCGATTACTTTAAAGGATTACAGACTTTGTTCTGTATATGTATATATAAAGCTGTAAGTATCCATTTAAGCAACCACTCATCAAATATGTGCACACATAATCTCCAGTATAACTGCATTTTTACACTACCTGACTTTGAAAATGTAACACCAAGGAGTCGCCAGAGAGTGATGAAACTCGGAAAACAGAGACAGCAACGAACTATAAGTGATAATGATATGCGTGATACAGAGTGAGAACAGCATCGGCTTAGTAGGTTGTAGAACCACCTTGGACGCCGATGCATGAAGCAACATATCTAGGTACAGAGTCAGTGAGACTATGGATAATGTCCTAAGAAATGGCTGTCCATTCCGTGTCAACAATTTGCCACAGATTGACTTCTGAATGCAGCAATGGTAGAGTCTGCAAATGGCATCCAATCACATCCAAAATGAGTTCGATTGGTGAGAGATCAGGAGAAAACGGTGGCCAGAGAAGCATTTGTACACCTTGCAGAGCATTTTGGCTGATGCATTCAGTGTGCGGTCAGGTGTAATCCTGCTGATACAGGCACTAGGCACTCCCTGAAGATAAGGGAGGGTTGCGGGCCACAGCACGTCATCCACATATCGTTGGGCAGTCATAGTGCTCTGAATACGAACTAGACGTGACCTGAAATTGTACACAATTGATGAAGACCTCTATAATTGATGAAAAACACCAAACCATGATGCCACATTGTCATGCGGGGAGGTGTTCCACAATTGCTGCCGGGTTGGACCTGTCTTCACATCGTCACCACACTAGTACGTGGCAACTATCATTGGAGAAATAGAAGCATGACTCACCTGAGAACATGACCCTATGCCATTCTGTCCTCCACATCACTCTTGCACAGCACCATTGCAGACATTGGCATTTATGATGTGGGGTCAGTGACAGTCTTCTTAACAGATGTGACAGTGCAGGCCACTAGCCGCCAATCAATGGCAGATGGTTCTGGTCAATATGGGAGCATTCATGGTGTATTGAACATGCTGCAGCATGGAGGTTGATGTGGCTTGCTGGTGAGCTACTGCTTGTCAGCGGATGCTGACATCATCCACGGGTGCTGACATCATTCTGGTTACACTGGCACCTTGAGTCAGCCTGCAAGCAGAAAAATATATTTAAAAATTCATTCTGTAACCTGTGGAGCACAGGAAGTTTTAGATTCAGTCACTTTCTCTTTCTTTGAACGTACCAATAATTTTTTTTATGTATGTTAAATTATGCCTCAAACTTATTTTCATAAGCTCAAATTTAATTCCTGGCTGTTTTGAAGTTATTGCCCAAAGGATTAACTCAGTTCAAACTGCAGTTGTGGCTATTATTGTCTATATAAATAAAGATCTCCATAAATGAGATGCAGCCTAGATTAATTTTCGCAATGCCATAGCTAAGACAAAAGATCAAATCGAAAAATGCTACTAGACATTGAATAATGACTCTGTTATTCCTGTATCACAGCAGGTGGACTTCTAGTCATCTAGACAGCATGAAGAACAAAGTAAAGGTGCTATTTAAAAGAAAATTTAGATAATTGTCCTTCTGCAGGTGTTATACAGCTGGAAATTAAGGAGATAGTTTAGGTGGGCATGAGCCATATATATAGCTAATATACTTACTGAATGCATTCTCCCCCCTTCCTAGAAATCTAATGTTTTAAACATAGTGAGTGCTGCAGTAAAACAATGATACTAAAGTAATCAAACAGTATTAGAAATGATATATTATTTGTATAACACAGGATTTTAATTTAATTGTCAGAGTTTAATGCATCCATTTTAAAGTAATCTCATTCAGATTAAGTAGTGTTTGCCAATCCTTGGAATATACATTAAAGTTGTTCCTGTGAATTTTCTTTCATTATATCATTTTGAGTCAAAATAGTGGTTACAAAATGGCAGTTTTAAGTATGGGATTAAGAAAAACACACATTTTACATATTAGATGAACACAGATCTTGTAGAGTCAGTTTAGTTGGTGTGTTAATCATTAGTTAAAGGATCTACCATAGCCTGGTTTATCTTAAATACATTTCATCCATTTAACCATCTTTGATACATTTTATTCAATTTAACCATCTCAGAGTATTTGAAACTTCTTGTTTTTGATAAACTATTGTCTTCAAAAGCTTTTTGCAGCATTGACTTTTTGTAGCCAAAGTTCCATGGTGAGAGTAAAATTTAATACATGTTATTTGCTCAGTTACTTTTTCTATAGTCAAATTCTTTTGTTAAAATGGAATCCAATTGCAGGCAAAGAAAGGAAATGAAATACAGATTAAATCCAAATGTTGATTACTTTTTCCAAGTTTTTAAAAACATTGAAAGTAATTTCTGCATATGTATGTTTTAAATGAATCATTACTGTCACTTTTTTATCAGTATTATATGCTTACTCTGTTTGAACTTGTTGTATGATTAAGTTCTATAGACAGTTCAGACATATTACAATTTTTATACTTTTTAATGTGATGAAATTTGATGCCATAATTATTTTGCATTTTACCTCAGTTTTTTAAGCTGTTGATAATAAGGGGAAACATTTTTTAGGTGGAGCAATATGGCATCCTCGATGTGGACCTTCACCAGATGGCAAAATAGATGATGATTATTTAGAGGATCACAAAACAAATGGTGTAATTGATGGGCATGTATGTAATGTACTTACTTTAAAATATCAACATGTCTTGTCATGGTATGATGTATTTAAAATATATTTATTCATAACATAACTTAAAATGTGTTTCCTAATTTAATAATTATATTTGCTTGAAAGAATAAAAGTATGCTACTGAAAGAATTAAATTTTTATTTAAGTAAAAGAATTATTAAATAAACAATGTCAGTTATTTTGAGTGTTATTTAAACTCACAAGCACATTCAAATTGTATTATATTATAAATCTTTTAGCTTGAGTAAATTTCCATTTTAAGTCATGAAAACACAAAAATCTAGCTTTTTTTGTTGTCCCCTTGTAGCAGAAATAATTAATAAAATGTTAATAATGCTTAATAAATTAGATACAGTAAGAACTATACCTTTATATATAAAATTCACATGCAAGATTCACATAGTGGTTACATGTATGATATGAAAGTGTACCTCTGAAGAGATTCATATGAGTCAAAGAATGGAAAATGTGTTACTCATGACATGGTAATAATGTCAGATAGTAAAAGTCAAAGGACATAAGCTTTTTATGGATAATTTCTTTTCTTCACTTGATTTATTTCATGAATTGCTGCATAAATATCAAATCAAGTTATAATACCATTTGCTGCAATCAGAAAAATTATCCAAAATTGAATGCTAAAATCCAAGTACAAAAAGGCCAAATTAAAATTTTCATCGGGGATGACTGCAGCTTGTTGGAAAAATTATGAGAATTTTTTTATGCTTAGCTATGTGCGTAATCATATTACAGCCTGTGATAAAACAGGAAAGCCCAAAATTGTATCACCCTACAGCGAAAACATGGGAATTGTTGACTTGAGTGACCAAATGGCAAACAGTTGCACATTGAGAAGGAAAACTTTGAGGGGGGAGGACTTTTTTTTCCACTTGCTCAATTTAACAGTTTTAAACTCATTTATTTTGTACAAAGTGAAAATTGTAGACATTTTATTTGCAGATTTTTTGGAAAAAATCTTATAAAATAACTCATAAGGGATTCATAAGCGTCAGTGAGCTCTAAGTCTCGGATACCATTTCCTGGACAGGGAACTAGCTCATTCAAAACAAAGCTCCAAAAAGATGTGCTGCTTGTCAGAAAATTGGAATAAGAAAGCGAACAGCATAGTCTTACTTAAAAAACGTCCACAAAAACGAATGCGAATATTTTGTTTTAAAATACGTATAAAAGAAGTAATGGTTATAATATTCTAAAACTACTTTTTGTGATAAAGGGCTCAACCATCTCTTTCCTATCTTAAAAAACTGATAAATGGGTCCTCCACAGGGCCCATAATAATAAACAGAAAACTTTGGTAATTATAAGTTAGATGTTCAAAATAGATTAGCATAGCATTTGTGAATTATCACTATCAGTTGAGCTGACATAATGCAAACAGAATGCTCTTACATATTATATAAATAAAAAACAAGGCATGTTTTCCATCTGAATTTCTGAACCTTGACCTTTTGACTAATTCAGTGGCTTGCCATTCATGGGCCACTTTTCCAGTCAGTAATTGAGATAATAGGGCATAATGGCTGAAACCAGTAGATGGCTACCGAAATTATCAAAGAAAAAGTGGAAAACAGCCAATTCATCTGGGTCACTATAGAACTCGCTTGACCTGACAATGAAATTTTTTTGAGTAACTATACATAAAGATACTCCCAAATAGAGTTTAAATTGCACAGTTTAAAATATACCTGCATGGAAACAAACTAATTTATACTATAAAGGAATTTCAAAGATTTTTTGCTAATCAGGAACCTTAAATTATCTGGAAATTTCTCCTAAAGTGTTAAATTACATAACATGATAAAACATAGAATAATAATACGTGGTATTGAAAATGGTAACTTCTTTTTGCCCAGTTTTTCAAAAGCTATATATAACACAATTTTCCCTTCCGATTTGAAAAGCTCTTTGCACTAAGAATTACCTTGATTTTAAAAATACATTAAAATACGTTTATACATTAAAACATGTTCTCTTAGTAAGCTTTGGAATTTAGTGTAAATGGGATATTTTTAATTATTAAGAAGTGCAAAGGAGATTCATGTGTAAATGGGGGTGTTTTTAATTATGAGTGTGCATACTAAATAAGTTAATATTTTTAATGAAATGTTTCATTCTATTATTAATACCTGAATTATATTCATAATTTTCAATAAACAGTGTAAAACGGTACTTGTTTAAATAATCCTTCTCTTTTTAACTTTTAAAACTAACATATATTATTCTAGAAAATAGTTTTCTAGCTTCTGTTTTATTCAGCAGATATTTTTGAAAAGAACTAACTGAACATAAGGTACACTTACATAATTGGGCATTGCAGTGCAAGCAATGTATAATAAAAATGAAATTATGTTGTAAAGTGTTTATTTTTTAACCATTCCTTGTATGTAAAAATTTGTAAAGATTTAGCTATTTTCGATAACATATAAAAATTTTTTTTTTTTTTAATTATAAGGAAATTTATTAGTGAAAAAAGACGAAAATGAAGACCAGATCTAAAAGAATAAAACTAACTATAAAATAATCAAATAGCTGCAGGAATTTTATAGCATGACTTTTAATATAAAAATGTAATAGAAATCATTATTATAAGCACTTCGTAAAAACTGATAATCTTATAATGCAATTTAAAATCATTATTTTAAAATTCGGACAAAATTTTTGTAAAAAACTAAATTATGTACTATAATATAAAGAATGACATTTTATGTAATGTATTTAAACATTTCCTTCTGTGTATCATCGAGTAGCCTGATTTCAGAACAATATTTGATGTAATTTGAAATTCTTTGTAGTGAAGAAAAGCATCTAGAAATTCAGTCACTAATTCCTACATTCCCCTTCCTTTTGTGAAATAAATGCACCCCCTTGAGAATTCCTTAAACTATACGCAAGAACCTTTGTTGCAAATAAGGAAGTGATTTTTCTTTAGAGGGAGGGGTATTAGTTTCAAGAATTCCCATCTTCTCAAGTCTCTTGCAGCGTCCAAAGCCCCAGGCCCAAAAGGTTAATGAAACTTTAGAAAATGCATGAAACTTCAACATGAGAAGCTAAGTTTTAATGAGATTTCAAGTTAACCTTTTTTCGGAAATACTTTTACTAAATGTATTAGCAAGGGCTAAGGTAAAAAAGAATTACTCTTTAAATTGTCATTATACGTTTTTAATTATTTTATGGGTATCACAGATACTTTCTTTTGTCAATAGTATATCATTAAATTAGTTTATCCTTTTTTGTGTGTGTAAAGTTGGAAAATTAAGAAATTATGGGTATCACAGATACTTTCTTTTGTCAATAGTATATCATTAAATTAGTTTATCCTTTTTTGTGTGTGTAAAGTTGGAAAATTAAGAAATTTTGATTTTATAAAGCATGCTTTTTTACCTTAAAACTGATTCTATAATTATGAAACTAACAAGAATTTGTAGTGTATTTAGCTTATCAAACTTGTCATTCAAGGTGATCAAGTTGTCCAACATTAAAAAGGGAATGCTTGTGCTTGATTTAAGTCAATTTTCTGTTATTTTGTTGCTTTTCTCTTGCTTTTGCATTTTAAAACTATTTTTGCTGTTTTATATATTTTGCATTCTTATTCACTTATTAACATATCTTGTTTTGTTCTGTGATAGCAAATATAACAGTTAACTGCCATATCTTTTACTTTGAATTATGTTTTCTGAAAATAATTGCTTGATTTTTCTTTGTTATGTGGCAGTACCCCCCGCCCTATTCCCCTAGTCTCTCAAGTTCACGTTCCACAAGCCCATATAGCTCTCTCACCAGACAGGTTTGTTTTTGTTTTCGCATAGATTTATTTTGTGCTTTTCTTTATTTTTGCTTTATTGTTTTATTTAAAATATCTTGCTTACATTATGTATATTTTCAAAAATATAATACTTTTTTTGTTAAATATTTTTATTTTGAGAATCTTTTAATAAATCTCAAAACTTTAAAGTACATTTGAATTTTCAAAACTAATATGTTTTGCAAGTATCCTTTCATTAAGTACATGAAAATTAAAATTATGATCTTCTAGACTGATTTACCATTTCCGTTATAGGGTGCCGATATTTTAACGCGATTTCATATATGTAAAAACTTCTCTTTTGCATATACTGATATATGTTCGGGCATGTTATTGAACTGTGTATAAATATGAAGATGAGATAAAGTACTGATTTTTGTTCCAGCTGTGTATATAATTGGTTGCTTTTCTTCTTATTAAGAAAACACCGTGGGAGGAATGTTCAAAGTTTTGATATGTTATATTAATTAAATGTGTTGGTAATATTAATGAAATGTAATCTGTGTGGTTTTATTATTGTTAGAAGTAGGCTTTTTTTTATATTGTCAGTTTACTAAATGGTAAATATCATTTCATATGACTTAAAACCGTATATTTTCTTGGAAAGTATGCATAAAAAGAGGTTTATCTTTATAAGTGCTTGCATTTTCAGAGAGGTTTTCCTTCACCATTCATACAAGAAAAATAAATAAGTAATTAAATAAAGTATTCTGGCTAACCTTTTTCAGATTTTGGGCATTACTCACTTGCTTACTTAGTTTTATTGAATTATTTAATATGTTAAACATGCATGTTTCAATCAAAATTATATTCATTTCTGCAAAATAAACGTAAGCAACACTCTCATTTTAATCATCTTCTTAATTATTTAAAAATATTAATAAAGGCAAAAACATTTTAATAATAAGAACAGAAATTTGAATCATGCCCAGCATTTGCTTAGTATATATCATGCTCCAAGTGTTCAGTAGGGAGATTGCATAAATTATGTAATTGTGATTCTGTAAAAAAAAATAAATTGAGGTATGTTTTACGATTAGTTTTATCATTTTTAGAAATAATTATTGCAGAATTATATTTCAGTCTCAAACTATGTCTGAAAGTAAGAAAACAAATTTTAAAAGAAAATTGATTTCTTTGGATGAAAAGTACAAATTTTGAATTGTTTTTTAAAAGAGGAAATGACATCTGTGTTTCCAAAAAGTGGTGCAGAAGTGAGAACTATTAAAAAATGACTTCATTTTTATATTTAGGATCAGAAGTTTTTGGATTGTATCTCTCTGTTTTATATTGGTTGTTAGTCTGTGTAACACAGTTTCTAGGAACCTATCTACTGTGTTATAGGAGTGATACCTGTAATTATAACATTAATTTAAAAAATATTCTGAGAAATCAAAGTTAAAATATTATTTATGGAATGTAAGCAGAATTTTAACCATACTGCAGGGGTCTTATTTTTGCATTCATTCAAAATATTAGTTCAAACATGTTATAGCAGCCAACCAAACTGTGCAGTACAGTCTCTGGACACTAATGGTTTGATTCCAGGTAAATAGACTGGCTGCATGAGTATATTTGTGTTTTTTTTCATGTTTAACATGGGTACAAGCCAGTTTCCTTTAAAAAATCCTCCACAAAAGCATTCCTTCCATATGCAGATAGCCCTTGTGTGCTTTGCTATAATAAAATACACCAAATCAAGCATGCTAAATGTGTATTAAATTCCCATTGATGTCATATTTGTTTTTGATAGCTTTAAAAAAAATAATAAGAACTTTCAGTACTTTTCTTGGTTAGCCTAATGCTAGACTTCTCGGTGACAATCATATTTTTGAAGTCTTATTTTACTTTAAGCCTCCAAAAGCCAAGAATGTCACTAAAAAAAACCATATATTTTCCAGAACAACATTGAGAAAGAAGTATTTTCTTTTTAATGTCAAAACTCCTTGGTACTTTATACTTGTATACTACTTATATATTGCCGTAATATCTTGGACATATTTGAAGATATTTGCGTGTTTATATACTTTCTTAAAGGTGTTGGAAAAATATTCTAGGTCATATAATATATATATATAGATAGATAGATAGATATAGGATATATATATATATATGGCCTGGCAAGTTGGAGGATTAATGTGACCTATAAAAGTCTTCAAAAATTCTAAAGTTGGGAGTGTCATCAACTTGTTAGTATCTGTAATTATAAAAATGCAATTGGTATATGTGAGAGGCAGATTCTTGAGAAAGTAACAAACTACAGACTGTGTAACCTTTTGCTAAGGTTAACAAGTCAAGATGGATTCATTTAGTGTTGCCATGTAAAAAGATTTATTTACATTTTAAATTAAAATTTGTTTTTCCTTAAATGCAGTATGGAAGGACAAGTCCAGGGATATTCCTAGATAAAGATCCTTTAATAACTGATCTCAGCAGAGTGTATACATTCAGTTATTTGACAGCAGAGCCAACACAGGGATATTTACGTCGACCTATACAACCACATCCTCCTAAGTCTCCTCAATTCCATCGTCCTCCAGGTATTTTTTTTCCCATCATTTTAAATTGTTCATTTTGATACATTTGTATGTAAATCAGTTTTTGAAAACGCATTTTTTGCCAAAACTGTCATAACAATCTCTTATCACATTTATGATTACTAAATGTGTATTTTATCTCTTATCACATTTATGATTGTAACTCTGATGTGTACTTGGAAGTTTTTTTTTTTTTTTTTTTCTGCTTACATATTGCTCATAAAGTTAACTTCATGTGAAATGGAAATTTTTATGAATATTTTATAAACACAGATTAAGAATTTTTAAAAATTTTAAGACAGTGTAGTTATGTTATCCTCAAAGTTCTGCTAAGTTTTTTTTTTAATATTTTCTTCTCATTGTCTATATTAGCCCATCAACAGCAGTCACTAAACACTCGTAGTTCAGTCCGGCATTTGAGTCCCAACAAATGGGCTCTCTGCTTGGGTGTTTTCCCCATGTATATGAGCTAGTTTCTCGTGGAAAGTCTTCCACAAAGACATCCATCCTCTCAGGCAGATAACCCTCGAGAGCTTTGGCATAATCGAATAAATAAAAGCAAACCTGTAATATGTGTGATAAAATCTTATCTGAAAAATAAGCTTTGCAATATTTATGAAAGAAAAATACATTATGTTGAAAATTTACGTATGTATATATGGAATGATTAAAATATTTCTAATTTTGCTATATTAGTTAAAGATCCCTACAAGCATAAAGGAGAAATTCAGAAGAATTTAAAAACAAAAATTATTAGTTAAATTACATTGATAAAAATACTGAAGTACTGATATTGGTAGAGGGCAGTGATTATGAAATACTTATATAAAAGAAGTCTACATAAAATTTATAACTACATAACTTCAAAATTTTTTATAGAATATTTAGCTTCCTTTCAGTATTAATTCATCTGAGATACTTTTTTTAATCAAACTGTTGTATTAAATGTATTAGTACCTATTTTTAAATAGTTGCAATAATATGCTCTCGAACAGCAGCTAAGCATAAGCTATAAGATGTTGCGTCGATTTTTTTTTTTCCAGATTTCTTATAAAACATAAGCCATCACAGACTTTTTCAAAAAACTTTTTTTATTTAATTCTTTATATATTTTTCTAAATAGTTTTCCATGTTTGTTTAAACGTTTGTCATAACATTCTATAAGCTTTTGTATGCCTAAGTCATAGATGTCTGCTGTCTATGAGGATAGCCAGTCTTAAAGTTTTTAATTAGTTTTGTCCAACCAGTCTTGAAGTTAGTTTCCATATTTGTTTGAAAATTTGTCATAACGTTCTACAAGCTTTTATATGCCCAAGTCATAGATGTCTGTAGCTTGTGAGGATAACCAGTCTTGAACTTCTTCCTTCACCTCGTCACCTGTAGCAAAGCACTTGCTGAGAAACTGATTTAGGTAGCGGAACAAGTGAAAATGTATGGACTGTACGGGTGGGTGGTCAATATGTTTCCATCCAAACGATTCATCAGATTTGGGTTGGGAATGGCAGAATGTCATGCAGCAACAAAACTGCAGATGTCAGAAGGCCACATCGCTTATTCTGTATCGTACATCTTAGCGAGGGTAGCGAGTAAGCAGCTGCATCTTTTGCTGCATAAACTCAACTAACAGGACTCCATGTTTATCCCAAAACATGGTTGCCATAACCTTGAATGTTGAGATTGTCTGCTTGACTTTGACTGGTGAGAGCCGTGTGATGCCATTCCATTGACTGACATATATAGACTCTGGGTTCATATTGGAAACCCATGTCTTGTCCCCTGTGAAAATCCTCTCTAAAAATTTATCACCTCCCTTATGATATTGGTCCAAAAAATTAAGAGCACAAGCCATTCTTTTCATTTTGTGTTCCTCAGTAAGTAGCTACACGATTTGTGAAACTACAAATTTTCAGAGACAATTTTATGCAGAGTTGTCCTACCGCTATTTATAAATTCCAGTGCTGAAGTTGAAATTGTGAATCCCTGGTTTTCATGAATCTTTTCTTCTGCGGCATTGACCAAATCTTCTGTGATCACTGAAGGTCAGCCTGATCATGGTTCATCATATGGTCATTTTCCTGTCTTGATTTTTTAAAGCTCTTTGCTTGCTGTCCCTCACTGCATAGGTGTCATACATGTCGTTTATTTGTTAATGAATTTGCGCTGCTGAAACATTCCTTGCTGTTAAAAAAAGAACCACTGACTGTATTTCACAGTCGGTGAGCTAATAAATTATTTTAAACATTTTGAACTGTCACTGTACACAGCGCATGCGTGTTTTAATATTCATTCAATATTCGATTAGCTATGGCGATTCGGACCTTAGTTTCTGAGTAACCCTCATATTTTCTATTTAATTAAAATTATACTCTGTGATTCAATTCTAGTGATATATCTGTACAGAAAATTCATTAAGATGAAATACCAATTATTTATCTATTTCTAAATCGTTTTTAATTTATAATTTGTTTGTAAACATTCATTATTTTGAGCCCTTTTTTTTCTTCAATATATTATAGTAAATGTGATAAAATATACTTGAAATCATTTGAAAGAAGTATTAAGGTCTAGTAAACAAATGTCTTGATCACATCAGCAGTAGCATAGCAAGAGACTTATGCTGCCCCAGGGCAGTTCTGCTTTTAGGTCTTGAGTGCCTAATCACGTTTTATTTTTAAAAAAAAACTTTTCCCATAAATAACAGCATAATACTTAGTATAATTGTAAGGAAAATTTACTGTAATATTATAGTGCAAGGAACTTTATTTGAGATTAAATTGCTAATAGGAATAGGTTTTCGTGTCTCTTTCAGTTTCATTGCCAATAACAAGGAATTCTTCCTTATTAATGTCATCAAGATCATAATTTTATTGATATCTATGTTTTCATTCAGAAGTTTTGACGAAGTAATCTATCATAGTAGGAGCATAAAGCTATTGAATCTAGTTTTCATTAAGTAGTCTGTCTAATGTAAAAACCTTTTCTCTCCAGTTCAGATTTGTATAATAATTTAGCATCAGGTTATTCTTTACCTAATTTGAATTTCTTCATTCTTCACCAATGATGCAATATTAATACCAATAAGTTGTCTTCTATGAAAAACATTCCCAAAAAATATGTTTTGCCTGAGGCAGCACACCTCTCATTAGCTGTGCCATTTTGCATGAGGTTCTGCTATAATTAAAGAATAATTATACAGTGCAAAAGAATATGTGCATAGGTGATTATGATGACTGAGCACTGATAAATCAGTTCACTGAACATTTTATAGTAAGTCTATAGAATGTATAAGGGTTTATGTAGTGGTAGTTATTTTATCATTTAAATATTAAAAATTACTCCAATAAATAAGAAATATATAATTAATTCATAAATAAATGTGTATAACTTAATTTGATTTACTGTTTCTGCTGAATAATGAACACTGAGATAAACTTTTAAATGTTTTATATAAAATATTATATTAACTGTCAAGAATTGCATGATATCTTAATTCAAAAAACACTAATTCGAATCACACATGACATCAAGATACATGAACACTACAAATCAGGTTTCTAAACTGCCAAGTTTATTCAAGTCTAACACACATTCAACTGGCGGATGCCAGATCCAAGAACAAGAAGTATACATACATCATGAAAGATTTACGCCCTCTTTGGCGATTAAAATATATTTCCACATAAAATTTCTTACACTTTTAATGTTTAAACTTTTAAATGTTTTATTCTTACAGAAGGGAGTGGAAGAAGAAGAACCACCCCTTCAAGACCAACATCTAAACAAGGTATAATTTTTATTTCACGACATATCTAAGCATTATATCTTTTATACTTCATTATATTTTTCCTCATGAAATAATTTTTTTTTTTAAACTTTTCCCCCAATATGATTCTTCTAGGCATGCAAGTCTTAGGTAAGAAAATTTTATTTCATGTTATGTTTGTTTTTAGTAGCTTTAGCTACAAAGCATTGTTACTTTGTGTCTTTAATTTAGTAATAACATTTAAGTTTTTTTAAACAATTTGTGACTTTTTTTAGTGGATACTATTCAGTCATCAACACCTCGCCCACGCTCACCACATATGAATAATGAAGAACCAATCAATCTAGCTCATTATCCAGATGCAACAAAACCAAGACCAGATAGCGTACCACCGATAGAAAGAGATGATTTTCCAGCTCCACCTTTCCCATATACAGATCCTGGTGTGTATCAATATTTTCAAAAGGATTATGAAATTTAAGTTAGTGTGAATGTTCTATACACTTGTTTTGAACATTTGGAGTTAGATAACATTCTTCAGTTAGAATGCTATAGAATTTTTTTTCCGCATTATTTTTTCATCAAATATCACATCTCCAAGGAGATGGGGAAATTGTAAATTGTTAAAGTGTAATATTTAATTTTCATCTTTTGTTGACTATGAAATATAAGAGTCGAGCTTTTGAGAAAAAAGAAGAGGGTGAAATATTTTTTATATTTATCACAAAATGTGTTGTAACAAAAACGAATCAAGATTGTGTAAGCCGTGGATGTTATGAGCTTCTGTACCATACAAGAGTATACGTAGTTATAGTTATTAGATAGTTACACATAAATCAATGGCAGAAATCAGTATCATACCTGCTGAAATAAGTAATCTTATCGTTATTAAACAAACTTATGTAGTGAAGTATTTTCAGCATTCAAAAGCTGCAGAACCATGGATTTTATCTCTTAAAAGTGACTGCAAGAAAGTGTAAAACATAATTTCGTGGTGCAGTATAACAGTACTAAAGTTCATATTCTGTACATTATTGTTTTGCTTTCTGTAAGAGTATTCATATATACAGTCAAAAGTCTTTAATCCGGACTCGTCGGGACTTTGGCAATTCCAGATCATTGATTTTTCCTGATTATAGATCATCAGTTTAAATCTGGTAAGATAGCATGCAGAAATTATAAAATTAAAAATATGAAACCATAATTTATGGAATAAGAGCAATTATGATCTAAAGGGTATCAAATTTTACTAAAAAAAAGCTTAATATTTATTTGTTTACTTTATTAAACATTTCTTTTAACGTGTGCATGCGTAAATCATACATTACACATAGTCGAAATTAGAAAATTGCAACCAGAAAACTCTGATTTGTATTCGGGATATTTATATTGATGAGGAATTTGATTTAAATCATATCAAAGACGGAGTGCATCGAGATGAAATACTACATTTAGTAAGGAATTATAAGCTGAATAAAATAAAAACATCTGCCCTGAAGATAAGGATAGTGCTGACAGATCAACTTCCAGTTCATTGCGCGCCGCGACGTGCCCCGCTCTTTCCGGCAGAGCAGCGTGAAATTGATAAACAGATAGATTTCGGAATGGTTAGAGAAACAAAGGAGCCTTTATCCATTTTTTCCAGCTAATTTCACTTTTTGTTTGATGGACATCGAAACATGCTTTCGCTTTGTAGATTCCTTTGGCAGCTCCAGCATCAAAAATTCTATTTGACATAATCGAAAGTTCCAACTTACTTTTATAAAATTGCTCTAACGATCTGCAAAAAATAATAAGCTGGATCCAATTCAAAGATTAAGGAACAATGCAATCTGCAACGTTAACAGAAATAGATAATTAGATAATTTTAGCTTAGCTTATACCGTCCGTTATACATTAAACGTGCATGCGTACACGCATATGCACATGCACAAAGGTATTACGCTCATGCGTCAACGTATAATGCGTTGACGTATGTGCAGAAAGTTTGTAGTTTTGAGGTCTGGATTATATGGATCATTCCGGATTATGGGTGCCCGGATTAACGACTTTTGACTGTATTAACACGTTGACGCCAGCATGACCCACCAGGGGCCCATGCTTGTCTGTTCCATGGGGCAGCCTGACCCACTGGTGGCCCATGCTAGATTGTTCCGTGGGGCGACATGCATCACCGATGGGCCACGTTTGTATATAAAAAACTGCATAGTACAAAATGTTATTTTATTGATTTAACATTATACATTAACATTTCTACCTTATAATCAAACATTTAACACAAAATACATAACTTATAATTTAATCAATACATTAAATATAACAAAATATAACGAATGTTACTAATACAATTTTTTTAAACAAAGTGCCAGCTTGTCCGGACAGCTGCTACAAAAGGTCATTACTATTTTTGTTTTGTTTGTGGCATACTGTGTACCTTTTATCTCACTCTTTACATCTACACTGTAACACTCTTTACATCTTTAACATCTTTTGTAACACTCTTTACATCTTTTACTTATTTCCTCGCGGATCTTTAGTATGAACTTAAAAAATGTTTTTTCGTGTCTACTTACTATTAATTTTTCACTAAGGGCATTCTCAACACTCTTCAATAGATTATCAACAATTTTTTCTCTAAATTTTAAAATTTGGTAACACTTGGTTTCCCACTTTCTGTGGATGTACCATGCATTTACTAAAGAGGTCCCACATATTAGCTCCATGACAACTTTTTGATACCATTTTACCGTTTTCCGTAAACATTTATAATAGGAACGCATTTCACATTTGCAGATATATAAACTCCTTTTTCGCAATATTGTAAGAAAAAGTGGTATCTGGTTTTAATTTATCATCTTTTCCACGAATAATGGCGCAAGTGTGAGATCTCGAAGGGGTTAACATGCACAGGAGTCTTTTGTTGATCCACTTTAAAAATTTCATGCCGCTCTGATTTTCAAGAGATGTAATGTCACCCCGTTTCTGTTTTTGCTTTGCCTGTGGCGGTAGAAATTTTCTATTCATTTTGACTGTACCGCAAATATATGTTCTTTTAGCAGGCATAAAAGTTTTCCGTGCTTTCGCGGAACTCTGCTTTTTAAACGTCACCCGGGCTGTTTCCGAGATCGATGCAGAACCGTTGAGAAATCGCGACCGGCAAATGTGTATGGGGGGTAAATGGAGGACATGCTCTCTCTCTTCCTCTTTTCTTTGTAAAAAAAAAAAAAAACTTTACATAATGCCAGAGATTGCGAAATGTGTTGTTTCACATCAAGGCGAAGTAGGTGGGACTTATGTGGCATGTAACTAGATGCATGCGAATATCGAATCAAAGAAGAGCAAGCAATCGTCAAACGACAGCTGACTTCAATAATTTCAGCAATCTGTGCTGGCGCCATCTGTTGGACATACGGATACCCTACTGATGTTACCCAGAGCACATGCGAGTTTTAGCGTATGTAAAGTGGCATACTGTAATTCAGAGCATAGATCATTATGTTATTTTTTGTTTGTTTGTTTGTTGCTGTAAGTTTTTCAGTATGAATATCTTAAATCTGAATCATGAGGTCAAAGCTTGGCGTGTAGATAGTGTAGAAAAAAATAAGTTCAGATTTGCATGGCTGAAAAACATCGTAAAAATTCATGTGAATGGACAAGAAATGGAAGTGGTCATTTGCAGTTGCATTCAGAAAGTGGATATCAGTGGAAAAGTGGAGTGTGCATTGTGGTCTGATCTAATATATTATGGAAAAAGGGGATATGTTGCTATTAATAACCATATCAAAGGCAAAAAACATTGTGGGAAAGAAGTAGTAAAAATAGATAATTACAGGATGCCATCATCTTATTCATCTTTGACAGACACAAATGTAAGCATGCAGGAAAGAAAAATAGAAGAAACATTAGCAGCTCAAAGTATTCCAATTTGTGATCGAGTTTCCAGCTTATAGGGTCAACTGCTTGGAGTTATGGCTGAAAATAATTTGCCTTATACTGTAGCACCTGTGATAATTGATTTGGCCAAAGCAATGGCATCTGATAAGAAGGCACTATCACAGCTCTCAATGGCTCGCACTACTGCTTCATATAAAATGAGATTAGGCCTCTCAAAAATATTTTTCAATGAAACTGTGAACAATTTTAAAAAAGTTTAAATTTTCATTAAATATTGATGAAGCTACAAGTAGTAATCGAATGAGATTTTTGTGCATATTAGCCAGCTACTTTTCTACAGAACACAATAAAGTAGTGGTCGAGCATTTAATATCTGTTAATGTTTTTAATGTGTCTGCTGAACAGCTATTTCAAAAAAATTGTCTCTTTTTGACAAAAATCAGCTGCCATTTGAGAATCTCATGTCTGTTTTGATGGATTCTTGCAATATAATGAGAGGATCAAAGTCTGGATTAGAGGTGAGACTTCGTAATGAGAAGGCTCCTTGATTGTTAGGTATTGATGGAGATTCTTGCCATTATATACATAATGCATCCAAGGTATTTTCGAAACCATTTGGTGGTTGGGTAGAAGATTATCTGCAAGATGTATATAATGACTTTAACTGGTCTGTTGATTTAAAAGAAAAATTAGAGGAAATATGTGTGATTTCAAATGTCAAATATACTGCTATTGAACATTTTATTAAATACCGCTGGCTGTCCATATATGATGTTACATTGAGTAATTTACTCATGTTTGATTGTTTAACCATTTTTTTTATTATGGATTTTTAAATCAGCATAACAGATTATTATATTTTAATATATGTTGCAGTATGTATAAACAAAGAAATCTGAGCAATGAAAGCAGAGAACGTATTAAGGATATCCACATGTATTTACAGCAAAAGCATTTCACTAGTGATGGGAGGAAACGAAAAGAAAGAATAAGTTCAAAATTATTTTATGATGGAAAAACTGCAATTAATTATGAATTTTTATTTGTCTGTATTGCCATTATTAAATAAGTATGTCTGTCTATTTCAAATGAAAGAGCCTTTAATACATAAATTGCATGATGAGCAGAAGCAGCTATTTATTTATTTTTTAGCACTGTTAAGTCAAAATTTCTCCAAAATAAATCTACCTCAGAAATTTTGACTTTAAATATTACAGATGAATCTCATCTTTTATCTCCAAAGAATATGTATTTAGGAGCAGCTACAATTGCACTTGTTTCAAAAAGATTTACATATGTCAAAAAGATGAAACATATGTTAAAGAATTTTTTAAAAATTTCCACTGAAGCTTTCATCAACAGCTGTGCAAAATATCTGCAGAAGACTTTGCCATTGAACAACCCATTATTAAAAAGCATTATCAAGGAATTGATCCTACAGCCAGAGGTCACCATAGTACCTTGCTTAAGTTAAAAAGATTGCCTGAATTAATCCAGAAAATTTTGACACAAGAAGACAAAATTTCATATAATTTAGAAGTGCATAAAT